AGGGGGGCACCTCCCCTTTGGAGCATCATAATGTGATATATGAATGAAAATCAAGACTTTAAGATTAAAAAGTTCTGTTTAATTCAAGTCTTATTTTAAATATTACTGCAATATAGTTTCAATTATTACTAATGATTCCAATTTGTTGATTAAAAAGTGATCACCTCTATACTGGTTACACACATTTTGAAAGAAAACATATAAGGAAATCGTCATCAATATCTTATATTCTACTGGAAGGAATTGCATTGTATTTCACATATACAAGCAGAGAGATAGAGATACACACACATATATATTCTCCATATGGAACATATATGTATATGTATCCTATATGTGTATGTAAGATGCAATGTAATTCCTACCAGTAAATATAAGATTCTTATGAGCAGGGCCTATTTTTCATTTGTCTTTCTGTTTCTAGAGCCTAATTCAGCTCCTGGAATATAGCTGAACACTTGTTGAATGTTAAATGTAAAAATTCCTAATATCGTCATTATAGTTGATCAATATCATGTCATTATACTTGACAGAGCTGGTGACTCACAAAATTATATAATAACTAATACCTATTTAAGCCAGAGATATTTGTTCTTACTGGTAAAGAAAGTGAAATTTAAATAAAGCAGGTATTAAAACTGAAAGCAGAAGTTACTTCTTACTCTCTTGTAACAGTCTGTATCTTAACTCCAAATACCGCCTATTTGATTATGTTGCTTTTGGGAAAGAAATGTACAAGTATCAACATAAACTAAAATGTCTGCATAGTACAAGGAGAATTTGATGACAATATGGTAATATAAAATGATGTAAAGCAAAGGAAATAACAGAAAGAAGAAGGAATTTTGGTGAACGGCCTAGTGTTATATTGTCTGGGCCTTTTTAGCATTTTAGAATTGGTAAAAAAAAAGTCTTTTTAAGTATTTTTAATTTACTATATTTTTTGTTAATAGTCTTTCTTATAAAAACAATGAAAATTGATACTTTAGATTTATCACTCACTTAAATACTGTAGTACATATTTTACCCAGATACCCAATTGAGTTCTTTGCTGTGAATATCCTAAAGTCAAAAATGCTTCATGAATTCTCCTGGGTGTCTTGGGCTTAAGAAAAAGTCATAGAAGAAGACACTGTTTGCTTATGAGAAAATCATGAATAAATGTGCCTTTTCTCCTCCTAGCCGACACAAGATGTTTTGTTATGATGGATTTTTAACAACCAAAACCAAGTTATGTTTGTGTATATCATAGAGGTAACTATATTGTATAAATATCCCTGCACAGAGATATACAACAGTAGCTAGCTCATTTACTACTGTATCTGTGTGCAGAATCCAGATTTTAAAAGGAGAATACATTTAACTATTAAAGATGATATCCTTCATATTAGATATGAAGCAAACAAACTGTGCAGTTGACTGGAAATGCCACCTAATCCCTGCTTAATTAAAGCAATGTTCCAAACTCCTGTTGTGTTTAGGGAGTAAAGAGTGTGGGATGACTGATGTATGAAGAAAATAGCAGGCAGCATGGCTAATCTCAAAGACTTGGGAGCTTTGGAGCTACATAAATCAGGACGACTTTTTGAATAGCCTCATAAAGCACAGTATCATTGCCATTCCACTCACGATTTTCGGGTGCTTCTTACAGCATACAGATCATTAGGAAACTTCTAAGCAATCAAGTAATGGGGGTCTGATGAAATTACTCAATCAATGCACAGGTTCAAAGTAGTTGCAGAATGTAGAATTGCATAGTTTTGATATGTTAAAAAAGGGGGGACCCTTCATTTTATTGTTGCAAGGAAACTTACAATGGAGGTGAGTCATTTCAATACTTTTTATAAGGGCATTTAATGCAGCCTTTCTCAACTGACACACTCCAGCAGAAGTGCAAAGCACTAAGTGTTACCTGAAGGTATCTCTATTAATCCTAATTCCACCAACAATCACACCTTTCAAACCTTACAAAATTAGCCCAAGAGGAAAGCAGTCAAATTAAAGAGTTGTAAATTTGAAAGATCAAATAAATGTGTTCCACTTCAATGCAAATAGTTCAGTTTGAGTCATATTCTGATAATTTAATATCAAATCATTGTTGTGGCAAGCTTGTATGTTTATTAAAATGTCAGGATTTATTAATTTGTTTGTATATTGCAATGCCATGCTCAAAGTCATGCAAGCTCCCTACATATTAGATATAATGTGATTCGCCATCAAAGAGCCTTGAAGAACCTATCAGAGCAATGTCTTTCTTTTTTCTAGTATTAAATAGACTGCATGTTACAGATATTTTATGCTTGGGCATATCACATGAACTTATAAAAAGCTTTCATTTCTACATATTCTCTCATTTTTCCCTCTTGTTTCTTTTTTTGAATGTAGGAGCAATGTTACTTTCATTAAAAATAAAATAAAGGCAATCATCAACTTAAAGCCAGTTAACATCTTTTCTAAACTGAATACTGTAAACATTGTGTGTATGCTAAATATCACTTTGAATTTTTCACATGTAAGTTTCTGTTTTGGAAGTAGTTGCAATGTTTCTGGATGTTGTATGAGGGAATAAATTGATTTTGTTTACTGACCCCTCATTTAAAAAAAAACATTTTGAGGTCATTTCTTTTCGATACAGCATAAATGGTCTAAAGCCTACTGAAACAATCATCAATTTGCCAGTTTCAAGGCAATGTAAATTGGTCTATAAAAGAACCTAATCCTCTCGTCAAATGTACTAATTGTCTTCCAGTCAAATTTAATAGTGTGAAAAGCAACCACTTTCCAATTTTCTTTTTTGGAGGATTCACTTAGTTAATATATCCAATAATCAGCAGTAGTCTAAAGAAACATGGATGTAGTAAACACTATTGATAGATCTGTCAGTTATAAACAAATCATCCAGGCCACACTAGCTGTGAACACAGTGCCAGGAAAAAAGCAGTCCATTCCTATTTTGAAACACATGCCCGAATTACATTGCACAGTATTATTCATCTGGTAACGAAAGACACAATGCCTCTCTAAGTGTTACAAATAATACATTCATTATGCCACAGATAAATAGCAAATGAGTATTTATCCTTAAGTCTATTCCTATGAAGTATGCCTAATGTACAAAACCCTAATCATAAGACATATACTACGAAGGCTTAATAATAACTTTACATTCTTAATGTGTCGGCTTAAATTATTCATAAATATGGATCACTATCTCTTTAAAAGGAGATACAGTTTGTTCCTGAACTTTGATCAGGACATCACTACTGTGCTAGTACAAGAATACCAGAATCCATGCCCCCAAAAGTTATGTATGCAGTAGATACTATTTGCTCATGAACTACTAGGAGTGTGGGAATGCATCCAGGACTTAAACCTTGGCCACACAAATTCAGGAACTACTAAATCTTGGTCTTGCACAAAACACATATAGTACTATGGATATAAATGATGTGGAAAGGTAGATATGTTTACCAAAACAACCTTTAGGACTACAGAGGGCGTCCCTTGTAGCTGTGCAGTCTGGCATCACCGAAAGTGCGCACAGATAGGAGCTTCATTTCAGCAGGTGCTGCCAATACTGGGAGCAGGTTCCCATTTCAGGACTGGGTATATAGGGCTGGTTGCGGAGGGCAGTAGGGAGTACAGAGGTATGGATGGGGGATGAGCTACCTCTATTTGCAGAGCACTAAGCAGTGCAGCTAGTTAAAAAGCCTGTAATCTTAAAAAAAAAATAGTAAAGCAGGGCCGTTCTGCAGCCTAGGAAATGAACCCTGGTAGTCAAGAGACACCTTTTTCTTTTATTTTTCTCTTTCTTTCTGTAAAGGGAATCGTTGCAGCACTGCAGGGAAAAAAAAGGCAAAAAAACGATCAGGTCTCTCAGCTGTGTTCTTCCTATTCGAAAGGCAGGAGAGTTTTGAGGAGGAAGCTGAAAGCTCCATGCATAATATAAAGCTCCCCATTCCCTCTTAACCCTCTCCAAGCCTCAGACGTCCCTATTTGCCTGCAGTGGTGAATCTGTCCGTCCGTGTGCCCTTCTTGTTGCCAATAGGTGGGGCCACCATCTCCAGTGGCAGAACGCTACACACCAATTGTCTTTTCTCATTCCTAGGCAACTCCTACTTTACTGTACTAGGGGGAGGGGTGAGGGGCGGCGGGGGAGGAGTAAGTGTGTAAAAGGGAACAAATGAATGTAGTCTCTTTGCTCTTCGACCCTAGCTACAAAGGGAGCCGGGTTTCGACCACTACTGTTATCTCTGACCTAGGGAAGGAGGGAAGGAGGGAGGGAGAGAGGGAGGGAGGGCGGGCATAGAAGATCTGTTACTGCCAGCCTCGCCGGCCCAATTTCTCGTGCTCAGATTCTCCTGGTGGAGAGTTCTCTCAGGCAGTTATCATGCCTGCTAGGAACAGCTCCTTGAGCGCGCGCGGAGGGGAGGGGGAGAAAGAGGGAATGAAGGAGGAGGAGGAGGAAGGATGGTGGTGATAAAATTCAACAGCCTCTTTAACCACGGTGGGAAAGGAGCTGGGAAACTGAACCGACTCACGTTACCAAACCACCTGTTCGCTCGAAAAGAAGCCTTTCCACTCCTTTATAGAAATATATCCCATACCTTCTGCTGTCCAAAAACAATTCTTCAAAGGAGCAAATAAGTACCCAGAGAAGGGTACATAAAATTAAACTTCTTTCCCATCACACTTGTTTTCAGCACCTACTGCCTCCCCTAACCCCCTGATACACATACACCTATCCAAAACCACAAGGACGACTTTCAACAACCCATCGTATGTCAAGATTTGAGCAGCTTCGTTATTAAATAATAATAATAATAATAATAATAATAATAATAATAAAGCAAGTATAAGACGGATGGAGGAGCAAAGGGACATTGACCAGAAGAGGACTCAAGCAAACGAGAAAGGAGAAATAAAAAGGAGAACCAGAAGAGGGGCATAATACAACAGATATATAAAGGTGCCCAATATTCGCAGGAGACCATTCTTACCGATATGAATGATTGAATCCGCAATCACTGAGTCCCAGGTTCGAGACCAGCAGATGGACATAACCAAGAGCAAAGGGAAAACTTCCATATCCTCCTGTTGTATAAGGGTGTGTTTTTTTTTTATAAAAAATCTCTATATTTATATGTGTACAGTCGAAAGAGTTTCAGGTAACGATGGAGTTTAGAGAAGCTTCAAAGAAAAAAAAAATCCGATTGTTGGAGGACAGGTTTGGCAGCCGACGAAGAAGGCGAAGGGATATGAGGACAATTCCAAAACCAGATGGGCTCCTTCGCTTAGCTGTGTCACTTTGAAGGGCTTTTTGGCATCCCCAGAGTTGTTTGCAGTTTGACTAAAGAAATGCATCCAGCCTCGAGTGCCGTGGGGCAGCTGTGGTTATCAAACCAGCCCCATCTCTTGGGCAGGCTGGCGGGAGGGTGGGCGGCGGGGCTAGGGAAGAATCGGTCCAGGTCTAGCCCGATGGCAACTTCCAGCAGCCGGTAGCCCCCGCCCCCACCCCGCCCCTACCCCCTGCCGGATGTTCGATGCCCCTCCTCCCTCAACCAAAAAAAAAAAAACCCAAAACACCAACCTCCACCAAAACAACCCGTGAAGAATGCCTAATTCTTGCCTTCGTTGAAAAAAAAAATAAATCCAATACCAGTACCCGAGGAAGCAGCGAGATTCCTGCAGAAAAAAATTAAAAAGACCGTCGGCCAAGGTGGGGGGGGGGCGGGAGAGGGGGCTCAGTAAACTTCGAGGTAATGCAGATAGTAATGCAGAGAAAATCCCCTTTCTTCGGAAGGAGGGGGAAGCCCAGTTGTCTGGCAGTAATGCCAGGTAGTAGAGCAGGCGATCGGCCGGCTGGCTGGCGGGAGCAGCGGTGTCTGGAGCGAGGCAAAGAAAGCAGCTGGTAGGGTTGCAGGCTTCTTTTGGAGCTTCCTGGCTGGATGGATGCAGCGAGAGAGAGAAAGAGACAGAGAAAGACCGAGAGAAGGGAGCTTGGCAGCTTCAACCCCAGCCTGCACGTTGCCTAGAAATGGATCACCTAGGAGAAGGAGCGAGCGAAAGAGATAACAGTGCCGTCAAGCAGAGGGAGAAAAGAGAGAGGGAAAGAGAGACAGAGAGCTTCTCTCTAATAACCACCTCCTCCCCCTATCTGCAATCCGAGGGAGAAACAAAATAGTGCTCTCATTTCCCGTGGAATCTTCAACTAAGGGGGGGTAGGGCTGGGGGGAGGAGTTAAGGGGGAAAAAAACACAAGCTCGAGAAATATTAAAAAAAAAAATTGGGAAGGCCTTTTAAAAAAGGCTAAAAAACACCTACACGTTCTATCTTGATCTTTTAACCTTGTAACTACAACAGGTACCACTTTTCCAGTTCTTGAATGGAATTAGCCCCGTTGGTGGAAAAATCAGGGACACCTAGCCACTGAGGGAGGAGACCTAGAAAGCTATTATTAAGCTCCTAATTTCAAAGTTTTAAAAGGACAGGTGATGCCAATTACTTTCTAAACTATGTTCTTTTCCCTCCCTCCTTCCCCCCCGTGATTTTTTAAGGGGGGAGGGGGCGAGAATTACTGAAAATCTAAAACATATCAGATTGAAGAACAGTATTGCTTCATTGAAATGCATAACCAAAATATTCTATTATCATAGAAGAGATAGCTTAGTAACTATTTTATACTGATAAAATCCGAAGGAGGGAGTTGCTCTTCCATGGACGGTGATTTGGTAGAACTGAATGACAGCTCTGCCAGACAGAGAGAAAAGGTTTTTTCTAAGCTTTTCCCACACAGTTTAACCACACATAGTACCAAAACCTGGCCTGTATGGCCCCTTCTAGTCTAGTATTTAATTTATCTTCCAAAAAGCTTTATTTGGGGCTTTTAAAAAAATGCAGATGACCCAGGGTCCAATTCAGTAAAAGAGATGGGTAGACATGATAGTACTTAAGAATAATTAGGATCAGAGTTCTTAGGGGATTTTGAAGCTACTTCACCTGCACTTCAATGTCATCTATAACATCCTTTCTGATTCACTCCCACTTTCTTTAACTTCATTAACTCCTCCTCCCATAACTGGACCTTTCCCTCTAGTGAAGACATTATATCCATCATTCTTTAGACCACAATCTAAATGTGCACTCTACAATCTACACACTCACAAGCTCCAATGCTCCCCCTCCCACAATTTGCTTATATTTGCCTTGCTGCACTTGTATATTTTAAACCCTCACTGAGGGTGTAACAAAAGGGGCAGTGAGAGCTGGCTTCTTAGAGGACCTGGATTCAAATCCTTCCTCTGACACATACTGGTTGTGTGTACCTGGACAAGTCATTTGACCTTTCAATGATCTCAGCAACTCTCTAAGTCTTTAAGTTGTAGGGGGAAAGGCCAGCCTACGATGTTTACCTTTGGGAGTTTCTCATACTGGTGGAATCACAGTTCTAGTTTCTATCCCTATTCCTACCTTTCATGCCACCTACCTGAAACACTCTCTAATTCTACCAATCTGTAAGCATCTTTCACAAGCCATAGCTTTTATCAAGTCATCCCATTTACTTTTATAACTAGGATACTGGAACACACACACACACACACACCACCACCACCACCACCACTGCTGCCACCACTACAACAAGCATTATACTCAAGGTACCGGTGTTTTCTTTAAAACATGTTTTCTTTAGTTTATACATCTATGTTTTACACTGGTTCCAGCCTCCTTTTTACCCCTCTTAGAGGCAGTTAAGCATATGCATAGATAGAGCACTAGGCCTGTAGTCAGAAAGATCTGAGTTAAAATCTAGGTTCAGACACAAGCTGTTTGACCCCGGACAAATCATTTATCCTATTTGTCTCAGTTTCTCCAAGGATAAAATGGGGGAAATGACAGCTTCTGCCTTACAGTATCATTGTATACTTAGAGAACCCTAGAAAGTGAACTAAAAAAAGTAGTGGAAACAACTTTAGCAACGTTGCAGGGTATAGAATAAATCCACATAAATCATCAACATTTCTATTTATTACCAGCAAATTCCACTAGCAAGAGATAGAAAGAAAAGTTCTATTTAAAATAACTTTGAACATCTTTTCTATTGTGCCATATTATGGAAATTCTTGTTTTATTCCATAAATTAAAAATAAAATAACTACAAACAGTATAAAATACTTGAGAGTCTACCTGCTAAGACATACCCAGGAACTTATATGACAACAAATACAGAACACATTTCATACAAATAAAGACAGATCTAAACAAGTGGAGAAACATTAATTGTTCATGGGTAGGCTGAGCCAATGTAATAAAAATGACAATTCTACCTAAATTGATTTATTTACTAAATGCCATACTAGTCAAACTACCAAAGAACTATTTTACAAAGCTAGAAAAAAAAATAGACAAAATTCGTCTGGAAGAACAAAAGATCAAGAATAACGAGGTATTCAACAAAAAAAAATAAGAAGGAAGGCAACCTAGCAGTAACAGAATTTCAAATTATGTTACAAAGTGATCAGCATCAAAACAGTCTGGTGTTGACTCAGAAATAAAGTGCTTGACCAGTAGGAATTGATTAAGTACACAATAGACAGGAGTAAATAAAGCAATCTAATGTTTGATTAAACCCAAAGATTAAAGCTCTGGGGTCTAGAACTCTCCATTTGGCAAAACCTGCTAGAAAAACAGGAAAGTAGTTTCGCAAAAATTAAGCATAGACCAATAGCTCACACCATATACCAAGATAAGATCAAAATGGGTGTATAATTTAGACTGAAAGGATGATAACATTATCCATCTAGGGGAGCATGGAAAAAGAAATGTATCTGTCAGTTTTATGGATAAGGGAACACTTAGTGACCAAATTAGGGAAAGAAAGGTAAAATGGATAGTTTTTGATTACATAAAATTAAGAAGTTTTTGCACAAACCAATGCAACCAAATTAGAAGGAAAGCAGGAAAGCAGGGGGAAATTTTATAGTAAGTTTCTATGATAAATGGTCAAAGTATAGGAAAAGGCATTTTTCAGGTGAAATCAAAGCTATCAATAATCATATTAAAAAATTATCTTAATTACTAATAAGTAGAGAATTGCAAACTAAAACAGCTCTGAGGTACAACTTCATGACTATCAGACTGGCTAACATGACAGAAAAGGAAAATGATAAACACTGGAGGGGATGTGGAAAAGTAAGAACACTAACGCACTATTGGTGGAGTTATAAACTGGGAAAATGATTCTGTAGAATAATTTGGAACTATACCAAAGAGCTATTAAACTGTGTATATCCTTCGACCCAAAAAATGCCACTACTAGGTCTATATCCCAAAGAGATAAAAGAAAAAGAAAAAGAAAAAGAATTTATATGTACAAAGATATTTATACCAGCTATTTTTTGTGGTGGCAAAGAACTGGAAAGTGAGGGGGGTGCCCATCAATAGGGGAATGGGTGAACAAGCTGTGGTATATGATTGTGATGAAATACTTATAAGGAATACTTAGAAGAATGTTTCAGAAAAACCTGAAAAGACTTATATGAAGTGATGCAAAGTGAAGTGAGCAGAAACATGAGAAAATTTTACACCGTAACAGCAATATTGTAATGGTTATCAACTGTGAAAGACTTAGCTATTCTGATCAATAAAATGACCCAAGACACTTACAAAGATCTCATGGTGAAAAATTCTATCTACCTCCAGAGAGTGAATAGATGAACTCTGAGTACAGATTGAAGCATACTATTTTCATCTCTTAATTTTAAATTAAATTAAAATTATTTTGTTGCATTTTAAGTTATGAACTGTCCCTCCCTCAATCCCACTCCTTGCTAGAGAAGGGAACCACTTGACGCAAATATGTGTGTGCGTATGTATATGTGTATGTAGGTATATATGTGTGCATATGTAGAGAGATATGTAGAGACATGTATAGATATATATAGACATACATAAGTATAAAACTGTAGCATGCATACTTCTATTTATAAGTTCTTTCTCTGGAAATGGATAGCATCTTCATAGATTCTTTGTAGGTGATTTGAGTATTTATAATACTAAGAACAATTTTGTTGTTCACAGTTCCCTTTGAACAATATTGTATACCACATTCTCTTGGTTTCACTCATTTCACTCCATTATTTTATGGAAGTCTTTCTATGTTTTTCCTAAATCAAATTTTCCTAAAATCAACCTGCTCACCATTCTTATAGCAGAGTAGTATCCCATTATATATACTACAACTCATTTAGCCAATTGATGGGCATCCCCTCAATTTCTAGTTCTTTGCCAAAATAAAGGGAGATGCTATAAATGATTTAGAATATATAGGTTCTTCTCCTTTTTCCCTGATCACCTTACAAAACAGGCCTAATAATGGTATTGCTGGGTCAAAGGGTATGTGCAGTTTTATACCTCTTTAGGAATAATTCCAGATTGCTCTCCAAAATGGTTGTACCATTTCACCATACCATCAATAGTGTATTAGTGTCCCAATT